TGAAATACCCATTAACCCTGTCGCACTAGATTTACGTCTTCGAAATTTCTGTTTTTGCTCATGAAGGATTCTAAAAACTCAGAAAAAAACCCCGACATAAGGTTCCGTACGACAGGGGCTTTAAAATCCATGTACGCTTCTTACTGAATAGCGCGTGAGTGGTCTATGATTGTACCTCATGTCTAAGTGACTCCATGAATGGTCTGCGAACGGATATGTGAAACTATTCATTCACCTTCTGGAATATCAAACACTGCATGTTTCAACTTCTAATTTCTATGTAAAATCCTTCATTCACCTTCTAAACTTTCAACCCAGTATCTCAAGGAAGAATCGGCGACAAAAAGACGTGATGTGAGTGGCCCGAATGCAATATTAGACGGATATTCACGCTTGCCTTTGTCGCCTTTGGCGCAACGCTTGTTCTTCTGTCATTACCTCCGGACAATTTTGGACGAGAATGGGATGAAGCTCTAAGATCCATCGAGCTACTGCAGTATGATGGAAGAGGACAGGGTGACAATGCGTTACGTCAGGCCAGAGTTGGACCACAGATGTCATCGTTTTTATCTGAGCTGGTTTTTGTTTTTGTGTTTCTTTTTAAATTTTGTCTATTCCTGTTTTATGTTCTATGTGCACGTCCAATAAATGAAATGAAGTATCAAACACTGCATGTTTCAACTTCTAATTTACACGTGGAATACAGATTCCGCACGATCTGCGGAGTTCGCGATTCCGCGGAAACTGCGCGTACAAACGCGGCCTCACTGACGATAATGATGACATGATCACTCTAGCACGTCACCATGAATTGCAAAATCCAAAGGAGCACTCAGCTGCTCCCGCCACATTCAAAGCGCTCCAGCGCAATGACCGCGACGCGACCGTTCGCCCCTCGCTGATGTGAAATGTTCGTTTGGCATTTAAGTTCTCCTATAGATGAGATGTTCAGTATTCAAAAAGAAATCGATCGTTCACTATTCTTCTTCTTCAATGTTCCCCATTTCTTTACGCGATCCTATCCGTGATCGGCCTGAAAAGTTCCGATTCGAGAAGAAATATACAGTGGAAAAAAAGAAAAAACAGGTATCGAGGTCACAATAATGGTAATTGTGGTGATCACCTGATTTGCGCAAATTGCCCATTGCATCGCCTTGAATTGCAGATAAATTTAGATCAGCAAAAGTGAGCTACAAATGAATCGTGATCAGTGTAGCAAAGGTAGAATAGAAACACTAATTAACCATCAATGTTGATTATTTGGCTTTATGTGGAGACCGTAATTCTTTATATTCAACAATAACCAGTTGTAAATCGAAGCTCAGAGGGATTTGTTAAACAGAAGAGAGATTTTTTTCAACGGATCTTTTTTTGAATAAATTTTTTAGAAATAGCTAATGAGGTCTAGCCAGAACTCACATCAGTAATAGGTTTATTAGGCGTTGACATTGCACGTGATGTTACCACGCTTTCGTCCGAAACACTACTCGTCGCCTGAAAACTCTTGTATATTTATGAATCGTTTCATTATAATGGCCTTACGACATGATTGAAAGATTATACCCTTTTAGAAATCCGTGCCGGCCCAGGAGTGGAAGCACTCCGAACACTGCCGCGGAGCGCTTTGCCTAAATATAAATTCAGCATTAAAAATCCCTAATATGCTCCACAGACAGCAGGAAAAACTGTTTATTTATCAGTATAGCGAATTGTTGTCATTTATTCATTATTCATTGCATTTGGAAGGCGCGCTAAAACAATTGCAAACATGCAAAATAGAACACAAGTTCCAACTGGACTTCGATTGGTCCATGTATTATGCTAGATTTAGAGTATAAGAGCATCTATACGAGCTCGCAAATACGCGGCAACGGACGCCAAGCGACGCGCGCGTTATCGCGCGTCGTTATCTGGTCACACTTTCATAGCATTTCGCTTCTTGGATGCTCTAGGCTTATGATTAACGTCCAAATATTTCGGCATTGTTTCCCAGCGCTAATCAATAACACATGAAATCTAGCAGAAATCAAGCTTATAGGGAGATGGACACGAGAATCGTGATTTGCCGCGCCGCCGCGCGCGACGAACTGTCTGGCGATGAACGCGGACTATTCTCAGCGTGGGCGCCACGCAGCGATGGGAGCGGGAAATTGAAACTGTGCATGTTTCTCGAGTGATCTAGCGAAACTCGACGATGACGGACGAGCGGACATATTCCACTCAATTAAATTAGAAACAAGTCGTGCGACGTTGCTAGGTCAACAGTAAATTGTGCTGAAAATATTAGGTCACCCATTGAAAAATGTGAAAGGTTTTATTTATATAGAAGGAAGAAGAGAACAGAAGATGAGAAGATGTTTTCGCTTTAGGTCAAGCAGATCCCTCCTTCACCAATGACCCGCTCCCAGTGCCCCTTTGGACCTCTGGTACCTTCGATTTTTCAACAAGTGCGAGTAAATTGCTGTTGATGCCAATTTCGGCGAATGACAAAACATTGTAGCGTTTGCCGTCGGAGAGCACCTCGACTGA